ACCAAATACTCCATAAACAGATTTCAGAACACAGTGTAAAACATTCCAGAAGTGTTCCCTGTGGAGACATTGTCCTAGAATAGCTGCCACCAGCAGTTTCACTTTGCATAGGCTCACAGCTTTGTGTTTTTGTTGCCTGCTACATTTTAAAGCCTCATTAGTCAAAAGCTAAATTTTGCTACCAGAAGCAGCATAGGCTTGGAGTGCATGGCAGTCTCTACAGCTTCAATCTCATCCTAGCGTCTTGAAGCCCAGAGCTGCAAGTAGTGATGGCTGGGACTTGTCAGTCCCGTGTGCCCACTTGATAGAACCTATAGTTTACTGCTCTGTAAAGGGGCAGGAAGGAGTAGCGGTTGTTGAAGTAATTGTAACTTAGCAACATGCTCACCTTCTTGGTAGGGGAATCCTCAGCAGGGTCATTCTCTTTGGTTAGGAGGAAATTTGCCGTCTCCATCTGCATAGTGCTGCGGTTGGGAATGTAGCGATCCCCCCCAGCCTTTGTGGGGTAGCTTTGAATTTTGGATCCAGATTTACCTGCATTCACATATGCTAATATTGTCTTACAGCTATTTAACAGCCTGTATTAGAGCTTTCACAGGAGCAAACCCAACACTCTTCCACATCACACCCACCAGACAAGTAGGACTCTGAGGTCTCATGCCACCCAGTCACAACTAACTTATATTTTCCTCCCTGACACCAAGTTGGTTGGGGACTGTGTGGTGCAACTCCTTGGGTCTAGTGAAACAATTCCAGAGTCCAGAGAAAAGGGGAAGATACAAAAATGCTCACAGGATGTAAAGCTGTCAGCTGACAGTCCCGCCCACACTCGTCCTAGCATACAGCTGTGCCAGCAAGGCTCAGCTGGGCGAACAGCAGCTCGCCAGCCCCAGTGCTCAGAGCTCTGCCCCTCATGCTGGCAAGGAGGTGGGTGGCTGTCAGGGGCACAGCCCACCTCCTCCTGCCTGAGCAGCAGCCGGTAGGGCAGCGTGGCAGGGAGCCCAGAGCCCCATGGCTGCGGACAAGCAGCCTGGGCGAGGCTCCCGCACTCAACCTCTGCCGCTGGTGGCCGGCGCTCACCGGGTGTCTTGGACGGCGTCTTGCTGGAGCTTGTGGGAGCGATTGGCCGGCTTCATGGGCGACACGCCGACGGGACTTGGCCCGGGGCCGCTCTCCTTGGCTTTGCGCTGCCATCGCGCAGGCGGCGCGTTCGGGATCAGCGTGTCCAGCTTCAGCAGCCCGTGCACGTCCGCCTCGAACAGGAACTGCGCCATGGTCCTGCGGGCGGGCGGCGTTAGCCGTGCCCACCGGCCGGGCTGAGCCTACTCCGACAGGCCCCGCCGGCCTCCCCACCACCGGACCGGCAACCGCTCCGGCCGCTCCTCCTCACCAACAGACACCCCCACTCTCCCCAGCCGCTCCTCGGGACACTCCATCAGCCGATACGCTCACCCTCCGCTCCTCTGGGGTCCTTGATCAGCCGGCATCCCTTCCAGCCGCTCTTTGGGGCTCCCTCCGATAAGCGACATTCTCCCTTCCCCTGCCCGCCTCACCACAGCCTCCCCGCTCGGGACTGCGCCTCCAGGCTGCCTCTCCGTCCCTGTGGCACACTCACCTCCGCGGCGCCGCCGCCGCTCGCCCGCCCCACAGCATTTTAAACGGCGGGCGGATGGGGCCCCGCTTGGCCGCTTCACACCCAACGGCTGCGCGCTGCCCGGCGACGGCCGCGCGACGCAACGCGATTGGCTGAGCCGCGGGACGGGGCAGGGCGCTCCGCGCGTGCAGTGAGGGGGCGGGACCAGGAGCGGGACCAGGGCGGGGCGTTCTTGCTGGGGCGGGGCGATCCGGACAGGGGGCGGGGCGGCGCAGGAGGGACCAGGCGGGGGCTCGGGGGGAGCAGGAGTTTATGGCGGGGTGCAGGCGGTCGTGGCTGCCCGCGGCTCCCAGCCACTCATGAGCAGGTAGGACTGGCTGGCGATGTCGGTGCTGGACAGGCGGCCCCCGGCGTGCTCCGGCGGCGGGCCCGCCTCACGCCGCGGACCAGGCAGCACCTCCAGCAGGCAGGGCAGGACGGCCTCCTCCGGCGGCTGCTTGTTGAAGGCGCTGGCCTGGGGGGAAACACGGAGTGGACGGGGTAGGGGCTGCCCTTCGAGCTGCCCCCGGGAGCAGCTGAGCCGCCCTGCCCATCCACTCACCTGGCCGTGCTTGCTGCTTTCCTGGAGGAAGCTGCCCAGAGCATGGTGCAGGTCAGAAACGGGCGGCCAGAGTTTCTGCTTCACATTGCTGGGTACGGAGGAAGGGGCATCGAATTTACCCTCAGACTTGAGGTGCCCTAATGCCCCGTGCAAGGTGCCCAGGCTTGGTGCTGGACCTCCCCGCCTGCCCCCCGGTACAGCCCTTTATCTGTAGAGGGAGGGGAAGGTGCAGCGCAGCCCCAGGAGCACTGCTGAGAAGAGCAGCGGCACCACTGTAACACTGGGGATGAGCCAGCCTGCATCGGTGGACGAACGCCGGAACTGTAGCCCTTCCCAGACCCACCATCTCTGAGCCCCTCGCAGCCCCCTGCCCCGTGCTCCCTTCCCCATTTCCAGCACTCTCCGCCTCTTGCCGTCAGCCGTGTGGCTCCTGCGGCCGCAGCCTCCAGCCCTGCCCCTTACCTGCATTGGCCACGGCATCAACCACAACGGGTTTGGACCCGGCGCTCCAGCTGCCCCGGTACCACGGCCCGCTGGGCTGGGCCCGCACCTGCGCAGGGTAGCGGGAGCCTGGCCGCAGGTCCAGGACCTCTTTCCTCGCTGCTCGGGGAACCTGCAGGACCTGCGCGGCAGAGCCGAGCTGAAGCATGGCTGCTGTGGGCTGGCACCAAGGGGCGGGTCCCGCTTGGCCCGACCCCGCACCTGCCATGTGTCAGCAGCGGAGGGGGGCAGCGCTGCTCGGGGTATCCTGGGCAGGCCTTACCTTCCAGTCATGGCTGTTCTCCATGGCATAGCGGACCTGGTAGTCCAGCTGCTCTGCCAGCAGCTCCAGGGGCGGCAGCCACTGCAGGCTCAGCCGGCCCAGCGACACTGTTGCCTGCACAAGCTGTGGGGCATCTGTGAGCACTGCTGGTGTTGGGGATAGGCATTTGTCGCTCCTGTGAAACGGGACACGGGACACTGTGTCCCCTGTGAGCCAGGCAGGGGCTGTGGTGGCACTGGGACTCACCGGCCTGGTGCAGCCAAAAGGGCTCCTTGAAGTAGCTGAGTGTGGGCAGCATGTGGGTCCTGGTGACATTCACCAGGACAGAGATGGCACTGCCAGCCTTGGGCTGGAAGGTGCAGGCATAGATGCTCTGTGCCCCCCCGCTCACCTCCTCGCACTGTTGCCATGCATCTCCCCTGTAGGAGGAATTTAGGAAATACAGGGATCAACTTTTAAGGATTATGGAACATAGATAGCTTAGATAATAAAAGATTGTTTAGCTTAGAATAGAGTGTTGTTAATTTAGGGAAGCTTTTAAGTAGAAATGAAAGAACTGTCATAATAAGAATGAAGCTGTGAGAGGAAAAGCTGGGCTGCAGCCCAACTGGAGCCTGCAGGCGCTCCAAGCTGTCAGCCTGAAGAGGCCACCTGCAGGACAGAAGGATGAAGATGGAGAAGTAGTGAGGGGATACTTTGTTTCAGCCCGAGTGCCAATAAAAGTCTAAAATATCCAGAGTGTTGTAAGACTTCCTTCCTTGCCAGGCTGTAGCTGAGTGGACAGTCCCTTTCAGAGGCCCAAAGAACATAGTGAGGTAAGCAGCTTTGCTTACCTGAAGTGTGGAATGTTATAGGTAAAAGTTAAATTAAGTTAAAATAGGATATAGTTCAATTATATTGTATTAATTATGTTATATTATTTGTATTATGTTAAAGGGGGGGGGGGCTTATAAGAATGTGCTAGAAGGGTCCAGGGTTTGGTGAAACAGGGGTCTGATGGGGCAAGGAAAGGTCGAAGAGAGATTGGATGAAAGATCTGACCAATCATTCGAAGCCCTGCAGAAACGATTGGTCCAGAATGAGCAGCGGTAAAGACCAATGAGAAGCCTGGAAGTGGACCAATCATCATGAGGATCCAAAATGCACCAATCCTGGACTCAAGGGGAGTATAAATGTGGGGAGTTCATTTGGGTTAGGGTTCTTCTTCTTTTAGGGTACTTGTTGTTTGGGAGAACCCAGTGCACTTGGGGTGAGCGCACTGTTTTAGTTTTTGGCTTGCTGTGTGAGTGCCTGGGCTTATCCTGGGCACTCCGTTCCTTGTAGCTATTTTAATAAACGAGAACCTCTTTCTCTGGAGAAAGTTTGGCCTCGTTCATATCCGTAACATGGAATGCCCGTGGGAAGCTGTGAGGCTTCCGGGTAATGAATGCCAGGAGATGAGCTCACATTCAGGACAACACTAGGAGGCAGATGTGAAGTCCTTTCTGGGCCTCTTGTCTTGAAGATGTCAGGGTGATCAGCAGCAATCACCATTTGGTTCCCACCCTCCTCTCACTATGTCACCTGTGGTATGGAATGGCATTCTCACAGCAGCATCTGGCCCTTCCTCCCTGTTTCTCTTTTCCCCACTTTTCAGCCCAGAGCCCCAGGGCTCATCTGGGCCAGCTTCATCCCCCACGGGTGTATGCAACCACCAGGGCCTCCTGCAGAGCCCCATTCCCACTCTGCTGCCTCCTTGGCCTTTTCCCACATCTGGGCCAGCCTGCTGTTGCCAGCTGTTGGGCACACACCCACAGCATATCACACCTGTCAGGGAGCAATTTAATGGAGGAGCCCCTGCTAATCACGGCTCACCAGCCCGGCACTTTTCCCACCCAGCTGGGGCTCCATTTGGACTCCATCTGCTGGGATAGCCACTGTGAGGGACTGCTCAGGGCCTGGATGCTCCTTGAATGGTGCCCACGGGCCTGATTTCCACGCCTCCCCATTCCTCCTACCCCTAAGGCTGCCTCAGCCTTCTAAACACAATTTTTCTTACTCTAATGGCTTCCTGTGCTTTACTTCATACTGTAAGCAGGAGTACACAGTTTGGATTGTCTTTATTGTAGAATTAATAAAAAGAAGTTGGAAGTGCTGCTAGAGTTTGTCATTTCAAACTTGAAGCAGCTGCAAAAAGTAGAGAAGCTTTCTGTGCAGCTTTTCAGTGAATTTGAAGTCTCCTTCCTCTTCACTCAGTTTCAGCATATCTGTTGATTTTCCTTTGCTGTCATCTTTTAAGCTTCATCACTTGTCTGTCGATCTGTAAAAAACCCTGTAAACCCAACACAAATTTACTATCCTTTGTATTTTTGTATTTTTCCTCTTCTGGAAAAGCTGAGACTCCTGTGATCTTCTCCTGTGATCTAGACTTTGATTCCCACCTTGGCTCTGGCTAAGAACAGAACAAATGGAATTTATTACCTGCTAGTAAGATCTGCTAGCAAAGATCGCAGTTAGAACTAAGCATGATGCTTCTCTCCCTCTGTTGAATACACATCTTTGTGTCTAAGCCTGGGGATTTCCAGGAGCACCTGGGAACTACTGCCAAGGACAAAAGTCTCACTCTTGCTGGTTTGGACATGGATGTTTGGTAGGATTTTGATCTACATCTTCAGTGACCTACAGGAACTGGATCTTTGACACAAAGTGCCTTCAAGCAACATTTCTAAGTATAGTGGGCAATGAAGTCCAGATACTAATGAGTTGTGGTTTGCTTGAACTCTGTGTAACATATGGTACAATATCCCAAAACATGTTATTTTTGAGTGTTTCAGGCATTTAAAACTCAGGCTTATTCTTGTCAACGCTTTTCTTTCCTCCCTTCAGAAATCTGCATGCCCAGGTACTAATTTCTTTCTCAGTTTGTTGACAAGTTACCACTCAGACAATACTTGTTTCTTGACCCAGAGATGGGGCAACTGTCACCATTAGGCCGGACGTGACATACACACGTGATCAGGGTGCAAGAAGAAAAAGGGTTTTTTTATTCTGCGTGTTCTCCCGCTTATACACTCTTACCAAAGCGTGATCTTAAGTCCGCCGCTGGCCTTGGCTCGCAGGTGGCCATCAAGCGAGTGTCCCGGGAGCGCATCTCGGAGTGGGCGCAGCTGGTGAGTGAGCGGGGCCAGCGGGAGGAGCCGGCGGGGCGTGCCGGGCGGGGCTGAGGCGAGGCCCAGCAGGGCGGCAGCCGGAACGCTGTGAGGGCAGCGAGCGTGGAGTGAGCGGGGGCCGCGCAGTGCCCCGGGCCGGGCCATGGCAAGCCGCGGCGGGGCCGGGCAGGGGCTGCCCGAGGCACGGCGCAGCATCGGCCCCGCTGGCGGCATCGCCGTCCCCCCCGTGCCACTGGCCACTATATACATTCATGAATGAGATGGGGCATCCGAACCAGTGTCGTGAGCTATTTATTCAACACATCAGTCTCAGTACATTGTTAGGACAATGGAGACAGATTATGTTAACAGCTCTCTGATCCAAAGGAAATGCCAAGGGGGTGTTACATTACAGCACAGCATAAAGCCATCTCAGCCTAGGTTTCAGCTAATGACACATAGAGCAAAACATATTGACAAAAATTCTATCCAATCATATGAAACACACGTAATGGTAGTTAACACAATAGCTCATTCATGAGAGACAAAGCACAGAGACTCATTCATACTAACCTTCTAAAGATATCCATTAAATAACCTTGTTGCAATCTATAAAGACAGATTACAGAAGTCTATTGTGCTATTTCTCACGTCTGCTCTACTGCTTAGAAAACTTTTTGCTGTATTAGCAATGTTCACAATTCTACTGTCAAAAGCCTGCCTTTTTAACCACTTTTCTAAAAACCCTCTAATTTTATGAATCCCAGCACCCCCGCAGCGCAAGGGCGCCCTTTTGCCCCTGGAACCGGCGCTGCTGTGGAAGGTGTCGCAGCCTGGCTTCCGCGGCATCGTGCAGCTCCTGGACCAGTTCGAGGTGCCCGAGGGCTTCGTGCTGCTCATGGAGCGTCCGCAGCGCTGTCAGGACCTCTGGTACTTCCTGCACGAGCGGCGGTTCCTGACGGAGCCCGTCGCGTGGGGTCTGCTCCGCCAGGTGCCGGAGGCCGTGCGGCGCTGCAGCAGGTGCGGCGTCCTGCACTGCCACATCAAGGCTGAGAACCTCCTCGTCACCTGGCTACAGGTGAGGCAAAGCTCATCAACTTTGGCTGCAGCACGATCCTCCAGGACACGTTCTACACCCGGATGTCAGGTGAGCCCAAAGCCCCAGCCGGGCAGCAGAGGTTCCCCCTTTGCTGGAAGAGGGAGGGAAGGAGGGAGGGAAGGAGGGGGAATCCTTCTTCAGCCAGCTGCAGCCAAGTTGCTTTTTGGCAGGGCAGGGGCTGGCTATTGTGGAACGGGAGCTGGCTGGGAGGGAGGGAGCAGCATGGGCCTGATGAGCTGCCCCCGTGTCCCATAGGAACGCCGGAGTACAGCCCACCGGAGTGGATCCTTTTTGGCTGCTCCCATGGCCAGCCAGCCACCATCTGGCCCCTGGGTATCCTGCTCTATGAGCTGGTCTGAGGGCACCTTCCTTTCCCCACCAACGAGGACATTGTCCGGGGCCAGCTCTTCTTCCCGCCACAGGTGTCTCAAGGTGGGGATGTGCCTTCAAGGCACGAGGGGAAGAACGGGGTTGGGAGGGGCAGCTGGCACATAAGTGTCCTGCTCTTGCAGCTGGTGAGGAGGTGGATCTCATGGGCTTAGCTGGAGGAGATGGCACCTGTGCCTCTGTGCTGGTGTCCTCCGCAAGAGAGGATCGATAGAAAGCTTTTGGGTGCAGCTCTGAGCACTCCTGGTGTGTCCTGGGCACTGTGGAATGTGGGAGAGCATGGACAGGAGCCTTGTCCCGCTGAGCGGCGGTTTCTGGTTTCTCTCCGCAGAAGGCCAGCACCTCATCAGGTGGTGTATCTGCATGGGCCTCACAGACAGGCCATCACTGGAGGACCTTTTTGAGCATTCTTGGCTGCAGGAGCCCTTCCTGTACCAGGAGACAGCAGAGATGCATCCCTGTGCACAGTAGGATCCAGGAGCCCAGCAAGTAGCAGCGGCACATGACTCATGGCGCTGGAAGAAAACCCCTGAGCGTTTCCCTGCAGCCGCGGCGCGGAGGAGAGAGTGCAGCCAAGGAGATGCTTCCGCTGGTCCCCACGAGCTGTGGAGGGAACTGCTCCGTGCTGCCTGTCCCATTGGAGAAGTGGTGGCAGTGCGGTGAAGGTGCCACGGACTGGGACAGGGGAAACGTTCCCCTGCAGCTCAATGGCATCGTGATGTCCCCGCAAGCTGAGGCACAGCTGGCGTGTTCTTCTAGAGCAGGACGTGGAGCTGGGAACACCATCCTGGAGCTGGGAACACCATCCTGGAGCTGGCCGCTGGTGGGGCAGAGCCCAGTGGCTTTGGCTGCGGCCCCTGCCTGGAGGACATGCTTTGCACCCCGATGCAATCAAGATGAGTCCCCAGCCGGCGCAGGGGCGGGGGGATGCTGGTGCTTCCAGGCAGGGCAGGGCTCTGCCTGGCCACATGCCGGAGGTTCCCTGCTTGGCGGCGCTGGGGAATATTAATTTTCCCGCCGGCAGCCAAGCTGCTTTTTGGCGGGACACGGGACCAATATTGTGGAAGGGGAGCCGGCTCCTGGCCTTGTTGACAGCTTCTGCCAGCCAGCCTGGCACGGGCTGAGGCAAGGGCAGCCAGCCTGACAGGAGCATCCATCCATGTGGATGGGGGGCGGCACAGGGGACGGGTTCCGAAGCCATGCCCCAGCTTTATGGGTGGGAAAGGTGGGGATTTTCCCCACCCGTGGACAGATTTAATTCTCCCATGGAGTGGTCAGACCACTCAGGCCCGTGAAACAGTGACAGGCTTTGTACTTTTTCTTGTTTCCAGGTCTCGTTTTGAATTGACTTCCATGCAATTGTTCTTTGTTTTTCCCAGGAGGATTACACCTGGTGCCCAGATGGGGAAGCACCTGCAGCGTCTGTGGAGCGCGTCCAGTGCCAGCGCTGCCCCAGGGGCCACGGTCTGCGGGGACAGCCCCTTCCAGAAGGATGAGGACCTGGTGCGGGATGGGCTCCTCCCCTGGCAGCAGCTCTCCAGAGGTGGGCACCCGGCTCCACAGCTGGGCTGGCAGAAGGGATCCGGGCAGGCGGCAGCAGGCACATGGGCATCCCGCTCCTGCAGCTGCTGAGGAGGTTGCTGTGCCGTGATTAAGCAGAGGAGGTGGAATGTGGCCTGCCCCGCTGCCCTTCTCTAAAAACAGAGAATGGGTCGGGAGGTTTGGGCTCTGAGCACAGCCAGCAGCCTGGCCCAGGCACAGCCATGATGGGACAGGGGCACAGGAGCCTGCTGCGACTGACCGTGGCTCTCTGGTTTCTCTCCGCAGGCTGCCAGCACCTCATGCCATGGGAACGGCCCCGCTCAGCCTGCCAGGCTGGGAGGGCTGGAGGGCAGCCGGTGTTCATTTGCTGTCAAAAATAAATTGGGATTTTTTTGTCATCGTCATCCTCGGAGCATTTCTTTCATCCTTTTCCAAGCTTTGGCCTCCTGTGATAAATGGATGTGATTAGTTCTAACAAAATTGTAATTATTTCAATATTTTTGGAAAATAATTGGAAAGGTATATGTGATTAATGTTATGAAACAAATGAGTTTCTTTGTAGATGATACCTGTGGGAAACAGGATACAGGAGATTGGAATGGCCTTGATGAGCAAAATTTAGGAAGCCTTCCAAGTCAGAATTGGCATCAAGACAAAGTTAAGACAACTCCTAGGACAGGATCGGCCATGACATGAATAACGCTGGGACAATTCCAGACAGAGAGTCTAAAATAGTGCTCTTATCTATAAAATAATGAGGCTTAATTGGAGCATAGTGCTCACTTACATAACACAGGATTTGGGGCACAGGCACAACCTGTCAGGTTATTCAGAGGACAGCGAGGAAGACTGTCGGCCTTCCTCCAAGAAGAGCACCAAAGAGCCAGAAGCCCCCTTAGCCCCAGGGGGAGCATGCGCTGTGTGTGTGTGGTGATGCAGATTTCAGGAATTGGAAATAGGAGGAGATTTACAGGAAAATATTGATGAATATGTATTAGCACACAGTATATAAGTTGTGTTTGGATCCTTTTGCCTTTTGCATGTGAGGCAGGGTTGGAAGACATCCCCATACCCCGATCGATTGGTTTTGCTTATGCTTTATCTGAACCACTGCCAAATTTCTTTTTGTAACTACTGGATTCTATTTGATTGTATTATTTTATCTCAGTAAAACTGCTGCTAAATTTTAAGTTTCTGGTTTATTAAATTAGACATATGGGACCCCATATATAACATCAGGAATATGACTTAATCGTTTACAAAACCAAAATGAATATTATTCATCTAAATTAACAAGGAATAGAAAAGCATTCCAGACCTAATCACAAAGGATAAAGTAACAGAAATTATGATACTTGATGAAATGAATACATTTTTGCTTAGTTAATAGCTCAATCTCCTCTGGCTTTTGATCTCCTTCCTAGAAGGGGTGCAGTTCTTTGATCTCCTCTTCACGAGGGGCACAGTCCTTAGGGTTTGGTCTTGCCTTTGGCATGGCGTGTTGTGTTTTGCATGATGATGACTACCAAAAACACCCCTAAAATCCCCCCCAAAACCCCCAAATCTCTTCAACTCCCACCCCCCTGCCCCAAACCTCCCCCCAACCCCCTCAGGATGAACTTTTGAGTTAATTTCAGGTAATTTTGGGTGATTTTGGTACCTTGTGGATGCCGAAGTGGGCGTAGGATTCAAACCCACCCAAAATTGCCCCTAAAATTCCCCTAAAATCCCTCCAAGTCTTCCCCAAACCTCCTCAGGATAGATTTGGACATAATTTTGGGTTAATTTCTGGTAATTTTGGGTCGATTCTGGGTGGATTTTGGATGGTTTTGGTACCTTCTGGACAACAAATTTGACGTAGGGTTCAAACCCAGCCAAAATCTCCCCAGATTCTCTCAAAACCCCCCTAAAATTCCCCCAGAGCTCCTCAGGATGGGCTCTGAGGTAATTTTGGGTGGATTTGGGATAATTTTGGGTCCTTTTGTGAAGCGGAGAGGGCCCCGGGTGCAGGGCTTGGAGGGGGCTGAGCAGTGGGGCAGGAAGGGGGGGAGGGATGGAGGTGTGAAACCCCCCCGAGAATCCACTGATGGGGACACCCCTAAAAAGTTCTGTGCCAGGACTGAGAAACGAACGGGACTTTTGGTTTTTTTGGTCTTTAGGTTGTTGTTTATTTTTCTCTTATCAACAGTTCAGCATGCCAGCTGCACGCCAGACTTAGCGTACAAAGAGAAGGCACCAAAAGTCACAAGACACACAGGTTCAAGGTCTTTTAAAATGATTTTGTCCAATTAAATCTTAGAATGCATTTTATTTCTACCTTTCAGCCAGTAACTAATTCTTTGTCTGCCACTCATCATCTGCATTGCAGCTCTTTCCAACCAATCACTCTGTGCTCCCAACACAGCAGAAAATGGAGTAGATGAAGGACAAGGAGATCAGACAATGCCCAAAATCCTCCATCCTGTCTTCTGTTCACCCTCATACTAAAATCCCAAAGCTCTCGGTTTTTCACCCTGTGATAAACTACACTACTATCTATTTCACACACTCGTAGATTCCAGTTCATCCCAAAGCCTTGGAATTTTTCTCCATGGACAAAGGCCAAAAGCAGTGCTCTCCAGGGAATCAGGGCTTCTCAGGACAGGCAGGGAGACACACATACTAACTTTTAGTGATTGGAGAATAGTAACATCAATATGGTAATTACAGGAGTTATGATAGGCTATAGGTAAAACTAAAGGTATAGATCGATTCTTCTGTGTGAAGATGCTCAGCAAAGAAGAGTATATAATGCACTGTAACCAAAGCTAAAGGGTCTCCAGGCTTGTGTGCAGCTGGAGCTGACAGCTGTAGGCACAGGCACTGCCACCCACAACCCTGGACTGCTGTGACATCTTGGATCCAATAAACTGTATTTTGAAGAGCTGCCTCGAGTCCCACATCTCTCATTCAGGTTCTTACAGGAGAGGGACACGGGGTGATGGAGAGACAGCAGCAACTCCGTGCCGTGCTGGCAGTTCCCGCTCCTTGCTGCACTCAGGAGAACCAAAGGGTAAGGAAAGATATGGGCAATGTTAAAGATACATATTAAAACATTCGCTTTTTGCAAATATTAAAACGGATTTTATATGTGTGGTGTTAAAGTAACTTTGTTGTAAAGATACAGTTTTTATTTCTGTTGTTAATTAAGCTCAGTGGAATAGCTGCTTGTGTTAAACTGCCTACTTGGATGGGATCACATCCAATGCACACAGGATGAGGACACCTGTACAGATCTGCCAACTATCAGCACTCCCCGTCTGAAGGCAGAGTGGACCAAGGCCCAAAAACTGGCGGTGATAAAGAGAAGGAGCCAAAACCACAGCCAACAAACACACATGCTCTGAAAAGGCAGACCCAAGAGGGGCCATGTAAAATCTTTCCTGGAATATGTAAAGTAGTTTATGGATATGCATGAGGGTCTGTGAATATGCAACAGGCATATGTAAGGGAAAGGTATTTCAGGGGGATCCCCGAAGGTAACAGGGTGCTCTTGGCTGAGTGCCAAGATGCACCCGGCCATAATAACCTTTGCTCCATGGTCCTGGTCTCCCATTGTCCATTATTAAACTTTGTACATTTTAACAGGAGAGTGAACGTGTTTTTCACTGTAAAAAACGCCAATCATTTGTTTTTACAATTTTAAAGTTTAATAGTAATAAAATGGTTATAAAAATAGTAACACAATTAGAGTAATAACAATTTGGACAAATTGAATTTGGACAATATGAGGCAATAAAAACAAAGACTTACGGACGTCCGGGTACATTTTCTGGGCATCACGAGCCCGAAAAAGGACACCCGTTAACAAAGCATTAACCCTTAAAAACAATAGCCGGTTACATATTCATGCACTTCATACATGATGCATAAATTCTATTCAAACACAGCATTCTGTCTGGTCAGTGTCAACTTCTTCCCTCTAATCCTAATAGCACATTCGAGGCAGGAAGAAGTTCGTTTCTTCTGATAAGAAGGCAATAAATTCTTTTTCTCTGAAAGATCTAGGTGTCCTGTGGCTGCTATCTTGCTGCAAGTCCTTTCTTTTAAACAAAGCATCTTACATAGCATAGTTTCTATTTTAGCAAATTTTATAAACTAAAACTATATTTAACACAGTACTTAAGAAAATTAATACAGCATTGCTTTCTAACACAATATGTATAATATTCATTTTAATATTTGCGAAAAGCCAATCATAAAATATATGCATTTTTCACATGGGGGATGACCCAATGAGACAGCCGGGGGTGGGAGGGATTTTGACATTGGCATCCCGTCCCAGTGGAGGGACTCGATTTTGTGAGCTATCTGAAGGGCATACAGGGAGAAGAGTTACTGGAGAATGGGTTAGGGTAGAATCCAGGCCGATGTGTTCAGTACAGACCTGGGCAGAAGGTAGAGAAGGAGGGGAGATGGCAGACAGCAGGTGGCTCATCTGTGCTTTGGAGCAGTTTCTGTCTCTCATCCTAATCTTGGTGTCAGTGGGTTCAGGAATGCTGGGGGCAGAGCACAAATTCTGGGTTGAATATTAGAACTTTGAACCCTTGAGAAAACTTCATAAATCATGTGAAAAATTGGGAAAAATTTTGTGAATCTTACCACCCCCTGAGTTTGCAAAAGCCAGAGTGTTCCCCTAACTGAGTCCCAAAATGCTCCATGAAGAACTGAATCAACAGAAATGTCTGGGAACTCCTTAAAGAGCCAATGAACAAAAGGCTTCCAACTTCCCTTAGTAAAAGTCTTCCTCTCTGAAAGGAGAACCTCCCTAACTGGAACATATATGCCCCTCTCAGCTTTGGATAATTTGTTACCCATAGCTGCTCCTGATGTACAGGGTCGCTCACCCACAGGACTAAACTATCACCCAAGGATCCTGCACTGTAGGCAGCTGTTCCCCAACTCACTGCTCTGGCGGCTCTGGATGCAGATGTTTCAAAATGTCCCATGGGCTTCACCAGCTGAGCCGGCCCTCCTGCTCCTTGAGGGTTCCGACGCTGCCTTCAGCAAGCCCTGATAAAACTCAGGTCCCACTCCAGGGCGGAAGCTGAACCGAGGCATTTTCTGTCCGGTGACGGTAGCGCAGCCGGATCATCACTGGAGTCGCTCTCAGGAATTCTCAAAGAAGGTCCCTGTTTGGGCACCACTTGTTGTGGCATGTCCACAGCCAGCCTCTGTGAGAGACCTGCACTTCCAGAGCTGGGAGCAGGCTTGCTTAAACTGCTGATGAATGAGGCAAGAGAGGGGTCTTTCTGTGGAACTCCAAACACTGTGGATTGTGCTGAAGAGGCTCCAGGGCCAGAGACAAAATATGGCTGGGCACACATGGTTTTATATGGGGGATAAGAGGGTCTTATATGCAGCAACCCAGGACCAACAGGGGAAAAGAGAGGGGAGAACATCCTAGGTGGAGTACATATAAGGAAAAAATGAAGTTCATGATACCAGTAAACACCTTCAAATCCCCATAAGCCTGCAAAAGCCATTGGGCAAGACCATTGCATTCAGAGGAGTGTCTCACTTTAATTCATTGTCTTTGCCCTGAGGTATTGCAGTTCCAGTTGTAGGCCCCTGGACCTCCACAAAACTACTACTTCCTGAGATATCATTGCTGGGTGAGGAGCTCAGTAGTGCTGAAAGCAGAGGCCGGTCCTTTGTGTTCCATTTGGGATGGCAGTGGAATTTCCCTGAGTGCACATTCAGAGGCACCTTCATGGCTTCTCATGCCAAAACACCAAAACTTAATGTGCAAGGTGGCTTCTTTGAATGACATTTAGTCCTTTGAAATATCTGCAGCAAGTGGTCTGAAACTGCTTTCTGAGCCTGCTCCTTGGGATCTGCTGTGAGGGGCTGAGGGCTGGCCTGAGCCCTGTGCTGTGTCCAACTGGGAGCAGG